CTTTACTCCCTTCGACCTACAGAACGTTATACAACTCTAAATGACACCAGATTTTGGGACAACATAGCTGACATCTTAGGTTAAAATGAGGTATGGCACGCCTCATTTGAACATCTGTGGAGGGAGATATGGTCTCCCAAAGTTGGCCTAAAAACTGATAATTTCTTAGAAATTTTGACAGCATCTCCTTTTTCTTATCAACTAATCTCACTTTATCAAAGTGTGTTCTAAACCATCAAATTGTACCTAATTGACAAGGGTGGCATGCAAGGTTCAACATACCTTTATGCTCTTACAACCCACAACACATTTACATCATTCTTTGATTAATTCACTTTGTAATCCAACACTTAGCCATTAAACCTTTTGATACTTATTTCAATCACATGATTCATTTTCATGCATTTAACATCGTTGAACAACATCATAACCTAGAATAGCCCTATTGCCCTTCCACCACATACATCATCATTAATTTACACAAGATCCATAATCCTTCAATTACATTTATCCAATACCAAATATAACTACTAAATCAAAATGCTCCAAATAACAATAATTACATAATCACTAAACTTAGCCAAAATACAACATGAACAACAAAAGTATGGTATATATCACTCATGCAATAAAACATGTTTATGCTCTGAGTCTAGCCTATCAAATAATTCTCAAAATGCAAAATGGCATGTATCGCACTCCAAATACTCTCCTCATCATTAACCCGTGGGCCTCTTGTCCAAAACTCTGGCATCGCTACATCCACCTGAAACATAGCCCCATAACGCGGGGTGAGATATACAAATATATCTTAGTAACCCAAAGGTGCTGGAGCAGCACTCTGCCCAATGACTAACTCAGATGTAAATTGGCAATAATATAACTATAATCATAACATACAAATCACACGGCTCAATGGCCTACAGCATACGACATACGACATATCAATCGAGTCCTCATCCAAGAATGTATCCCCGGGATATCATTCAAGGCACCCACAACTATAACTCCCAAGACATTTCTACCTACAGTGCTCCTCAACGAATCACAACTCTATGGCCCCAGTCCAACTGGAACTCCCTACGAAGGCCTCTCCAGTGGAAGTCCCCTAGGGCATACAACAATTATCTACTGGCCAAAGATACGGTATAAACTCAAATATACCACTCAACATACACATGCATGATCATGTTATAATTCACACTATTGCATCAAATAACTTCCAACCACTACCCCAATCGGCATGGTGGAGCACACACAAGGATTAACCCCAGTACCAAGGGATTACCTCTTTGAAGCTCCCGAGCAAGTTGCTTCAATTACAAGTTACATCAAAATATTTCCCTTCCACAAGAAATGCCACAATCCTTTTGGTCAAGGACCAAAGGCAATCCATAAGCTCTAAGCTTTAATCTTCTAGGATTTCATCTGAAGGAGGCAACCTACAATGGTCACACGACATGATCATCTATCAACTTGTTAAACAAGTCATAATTCAAGACAATAAACTCTCCCCCCACATGACTATGCCTCGGCCATTATGGCCAAATCAACCCATTCATGTTGTTAGTTTTATACAATCATTCCAATGTTTTTCTTAATCTTTCGCAATACCATATCAATCTCACAATTGCATCAATTTATAACAGCATAATTTCCCCCAATTTTCCCTACAAGGCCGTAGGCGATGCATAAGAGGAGCTAGGGTTTTTCCTTGAAATTTCAAGGTTCTAAGGCACTCATTTAGGTCCGCACTAATTCATTCAAGCACCTACTAACTCAATCCATCAAGTCAAACATCCAATTGCACAATTTCCTCAAAACTCCCTATATGGTTGAATGTACACTCTAGGGATACCAAATGATTTCTCTCTCAATCAACAAGTATTACACACTCATACAATCCAATTATATTTGGTTCAATTCACCAACAAACTCAATTACACAATTTTGCACCATCTTGCTCCAAATTACCCTAAATGGCCGAAATCACATAGCCATGGACCAAGGAATTCTCAATTGATTTTAACACATCCAATGCACCATACATTATGTATTTAACTATTCTAACTAATCTACAACTCAATTTCACAACTATCCAACCATCCATTTTTTCAAAATTCACGTTCATCTATCTAAAATTTCACTTAAGTTACTAAACATTTTCACAATAAATTTTATGAGATCATTCACTCTAATTCATCATTCTAAGCAATATTTGTATAATGCACAAAGTCATTTTGAGGTCTCCAACTACCTCCAATCACCACACATCGGCTTAGGTTTCCATTTTATGATCTACAAGAAAATCCAACAATAGGTAAGGAAATTTACCACAAATCAATGTCCAAGACTCCTAGGAATGTTCCTTAAGCAATAACTCAAGCATCAAGCTCCATTGACACCAAACTCTCCAAATTATAGCAAGCTTTGTGGGGGAATATCTCAAAATCTAGGGACTTTCAGGAGGAATGGAGGTGTGGGTTGGATTCATTGGGTGTTTTCCTTGAAATTTCATGTGAAACTTAGTGGATTTGATGGAGGATTGAAGGAGAAAAAATCTCCCCCTTTGGATGTGTTGGCCGTGGGTTTTGCAAAAAGGAAGAGAGAGGAAGACGATGCATAATGGCTCACACATGTGTTCTTATGTTGTTTAAGCGGGGTGGATCCCACATGCCACCTCACACAATTCAAAGTATTTCAAATCATCCACTTAACCCACTAATCTCCAATTAATTCATAAACTATCCATTAAATCCAAAATTTATCTTTGACCAAAGTCCTTTAATTACCCTTGAACAGATGAATCCAGAGTTTTCAGGTAATTCGGTGAAATCACTATTTTATCCTGATTTGTGCACCGTTGGCACGTTTCTCCAAAAATCCATCAATTTTCATCAATAATCATATTTCTTGGTCCTAAGTAACTTTTTCAACATATATTCAACCCTAGAGCACTAATCTCACTTGGCACATTTTTCGGTGCAACTGCACCTCAATATTTTCATCCATTAAAAACACTATTCATCAATTTTCTAGAAACTTGCCTAACCACTCAATTTTTTGTTCTGAGTCCATTTTCAATGTTATTTTTATCATTTGAGGCCTTATTCTATTATTTTACAGTTTAGGAAATTTGTTAATTTACCATTTTACCCTTCTTACGTATTTTGACCCAGAACTTAGGATTTTCACTAATTCTACCCCTTAATCCTGATTTTAATTGTAATTATGTATTTCAAATCTACGAGGTATTATACTGGCTAGTTTTTATAGACAATTTGTGAAGAACTTTAGTAGCCTAGCAGCACCATTGACTGAGGTTATTAAGAAAAATGTGGGGTTCAAATCATGCATACATACATTATTAATCATGCTGTTTTGGAAAACTATGAATATTTATGAAAAGAAACATTTGTTTGAGCATGCATCATGTAGACATCCCTCAGGTACCAGGGAGAAGGAACCGTGGCTCAGTTCGCATAGGTCGCAGTTGGAATTCCCCTCTGATGGGCCAAATGGAATCTCCACTGTGTTAGTTAGTTAGTACGTGCACTGCAGTGCTATGAGCGTACATTACTCTGGCGTTATATACGCATTCTGATTACTTTTAGTATATGTTCGGAATTTATTATTTGATGCGACTGTTTTGGAATTCTGTATCTAGACGAATATTGTTGCATTACTGGTTTTGCTATCACACTACTGGAATTTTTCTCACCCCTTTTGGGGCTCAATTTTTATAAAATTGCAGGAGGACAAAAAAGCATTTGAGGGGCTATTTTATTTAGATATGTGGTGTTTAATTTTGCTCCTTTGGAGACTTGCTGCTTGTTCGTTGTTTGTTGGCTGTGCACTGAACGTTTAATGTTATGTAGTAATTTGAAGTTGGACAAGTCACATTTCGCAATCTGTTTTGGAACATGTTGTAGTCTGATTTTTGTAATTGCTTAAGACTTATGTAATTCCGGTGTTTATTTTGTCAAAACGATTTCTGCCCGTTTTAAATTCTGAATTTTGAAACTGATTTAGCGAGCACTTTGCGAGTTCTGTTTCTGGGGCTACAGACCTCCGATTGACATATAATTTATATGCGCACGTAAAGCCCCAGATGTCTAGTTTCAGATTATATAAACTTTATGTCAAAAGCTTAAAAGCTCGAATTTATATGATTTTTGCAAGACAGGAAGGTTTTCAGGAAAAATAACAAATTCAGCAAGCAATGTGTTTTACCTAATTTTCCCACCGTTTTCATGTGCAATCAGATTTCTACACAAGATTTTAATTTGTGACTTAATAATGCAGATCAGTATGTAATTCGATGATGTTACGACTCTAATCCGCTTAGCAGGCATCTCTCTTGGATGCATACAGGGGAGGGTGTCACACTAAATGGTATCAGAGCAGTTTTGGTTTGTGGTGTCTGTATGATTGTTGAACTATTTGTTGTTTATACATGCTTGCTGAATTGTCTGTTGATTGCAATTGACTGTTAAATTGTTTGCTGGTTGTTGTGTGATAGAATGCTGAATTAAATGTTGAATTGTTTGAGATACAGTAATTGTTATAACTAGGATCTTAGAATTATACAGTGATAGGGACAGATGTATTGTTAACTTATCTGATTAGAACACGAGTACCTTCTTGGGATTGCTGTCATGTATATCTTGCAGTGAGTCTGATCAGCTCATTTCGTGGTATTGTGAGTGCAGAAACATGGCAGGTACACGGGGTTTTACTCAGGGAAGACCTAGCAATGCAGCTGATGACCTTATCACTACTGTTGGGGGGTTGGCCACTTTTGTCTAGAATATGAGTCAAGAGTGGAGAGATATAGGCATCAGAATCCGAACCAACCCCAGATGCATGATAATGTTGAGGAGATAGCTAGGCGGAGGTTGAAAGACTTCTGAAATTTTCAGCCACCTACGTTTGAAGGTGGGGATAATTCGGAGATTGCAGCAAGATGGTTGCAGATGATTGAACACATCTCTGAACATATGGGATGTCCTAAAGCTCACAAGGTTGACTATGCCTCATATCAGCTGATTGATGAAGCTTTGACTTGGTGGACGAGTGCAAGGGCTTTGCTTCGAGCTCAACAGGTTGATCTGACTTGGGCGGTGTTCAGAAGGGTCTTTCTTGACAAGTATTTCCCTAAGGCTATGAGGAGAATGAAACACACTGAGTTGCTGACACTGCTACAGGATAATATGACTGTCAATGAATATATTGCTAAGTTTGGGCAGCTGATGGAATATGATAATTTTGATCAGAACATCTATGATGAAGAGTGGCAGGTGGAAAAATATGAAAGTGGACTGCACCCAGAGATCCGCAAGCTTGTGTTGACTACAACGAATCGTACTCTGCTTGAATTGATTAATCAGAGTCGGCAAGCAGAAGAGATTATAAGTGAAGCTAAGAATTTGTCTAAACAGCCAGTGCAATCCCAAGGAGGAAGTAAAGTTGGTTGGTTTTTCAGAAAGATTACTGGAATGAATAGAGGAAAGGGTCCGCAGTTGCAACCTCGGACTGGAAACTTCAAGAAGAATAATGCTCCTGGAAAATCTTCAGTCGGACGACAGGGTCCCAATGCTTGTGCTACTTGTAGAAAGAATCATGCTGGTATTTGCCGACGCAGGAACAATTTGTGCTACAGGTGTGGACGGTTGGGACACTTCATTTCTGATTGCCCACAGAATGCTAATCAGCCTCATACTCAAGCTCGAGTGTTCACCCTTGATGCAAATGAAGCTCAAAAGTATCCAAATCTGATCCGAGGTAATGTAATTATGAATGGTTATCCTATTTCTGTTATCTTCGATTCTGGAGCATGTGGTTCTTTTATTGCGGGGCACACTGCAATGAGAATAGGTATCACCCCGGCTCCGTTACCTTATGAGTTATAAATCAGTACTCCTACTGGAGGATCTTGTACCGTATCAGAAATCTGCAGGGGTTGTATTCTGCAATTTGAAGGAAGTACTTATACAGTGAATTTAGTGGTTCTACCGGTATTCAGTCTTGAGGTGATTATCGGTATGGACTGGTTGGCGGAGAACGGAATAACTTTGGATTGTCAAGCAAGAAAGGTCATTGTTCCTTTGAAAGATGGTAATTTTCAGTCTTTTGCTACTATATCTTTATTGCAAGTTAGAAAAGAACTCCTTCGGGGAGCTGAAGGGTATTTGTTGTTAATGGAATCTGAAACTACGGTTGATACTCAACTTCAAAATATTCCTGTTGTTAATGAATTCGAGGAGGTGTTTCTTGATGAAATCCCTCACTTACCTCCTCATAAGGAGATCAAATTTTCCATTGAACTTCTTCCTGGAGTTGGACCTATTTCCATTGCTCCTTATCGTATGGCACATTTGGAACTTCGGGAACTGAAGAAAAAAATATAAGAGCTTTTGTCAAAAGAATTCATCAGACCCAGTACTTCTCCGTGGGGTGCTCCAGCCATTCTTATTAAGAAGAAGGAGGTAGTCTGCGTTTGTGTGTGAATTACCGTCAACTGAACAAGGTGACAGTGAAGAATAAATATCCGCTTCCTAGGATTGATGATTTGATGGACCAGTTGAGAGGTGCCAAGGTATTTTCCAAAATAGACTTGCGGTCAGGATATCATCAAATCCGATTTAAATGGGAGGACATTCCGAAAACAGCTTTTAGGACTCGATATGGTCACTATGAATATCAGGTAATTTCGTTCGGACTTACTAATGCTCCGGCGGTATTCATGGATTATATGAACCATATCTTTCGCCCATTCCTAGATCAGTTTGTTATTGTATTCATCAATGACATTCTGATTTACTCTATCAATGAAGAACTGCATGCTGAACATTTGAGGATAGTCTTACAAATCCTTAAGGAGAAACAGTTGTATGCCAAGTGGTCGAAGTGAGAATTCTGGTTAAGTGAAGTCCAGTTCTTAGGCCACATAACATCAGCAGAAGGTATTGCTGTGGATCCCAGTAAAGTGGAAGCAGTAATGAATTGGGAACGACCTAAGACCGTCACTGAAGTGCAGAGTTTCTTGGGGCTTGCGGGCTACTATCGTAGATTTATCCAGAATTTCTCTCAGTTAGTACAACCCCTCACCCGTCTCACTCGGAAGGGAATGCCTTTTGAGTGGACTGATGCTTGTGAAGAATGTTTCTTGGAGCTAAAGGGTAGACTGACCAGTGCCCCGGTGCTTACCATTCCGGACCCAACTAGAAAGTTTGAAGTGTACTATGATGCGTCTTTGAAGGGACTCGGTTGTGTGATGATGCAAGATCGGATGGTCGTAGCTTATGCCTCACGACAGTTAAAGCCTCACGAAGAGAATTATCCTACTCATGACCTGGAGTTGGCAGCTATAGTGTTCGCACTAAAAATCTGGTGACATTATTTGTATGGCTCACAATTTTTTGATGTTTTCAGCGATCACAAGAGTCTGAAGTATTTGTTTGACCAGAAAGAGCTAAATATGAGGCAATGACAGTGGATGGAATTCTTAAAAGATTATGAATTTGAACTCAAGTATCATCCAGGCAAGGCAAATATTGTAGCAGACACTTTGAGCCGTAAGACTTTCCATACCGCTACCCTGATGATGGAAGAACTAAAACTACTTGAAGCTTTTCGGGATATGAACTTGTTTGTTATCAGAAGAAGGCGTGGAATAAGGTTGGGCAGTATCAAAGTGGAGAATGAGTTGCTCCGTAGAATAAATAGGGCCCAAAGAGATGAGGAACTAGTTCATAAATTGGCTGGTTTCTAAGATGTAGTTTGGGATGAAAACAAAATGTTGAGATTTCAAGGTCGGTTAGTAGTACCGAATGATGAACTGAAGCAAGAAGTTTTGCAAGAGGCCCATAAGGGTAACTATACCATTCATCCTGGATCCACCAAGATGTATCATGATTTAAAGACTTCGTTCTGGTGGCCGGGTATGAAACGTGATATTGCGGAGTATGTAGTTCAATGCCTAACATGTCAGAAAGTGAAGTATGAACGAACATCAGAAACCTTCGGGACTTCTTCAACCCCTGGAAATTCCCGAATGGAAATAGGATAGTATAGCTATGTACTTTGTAGTTGGACTTCCTCGTACGCGATAAGGATTTGATGCCATTTGGGTAATTGTGGATTGGCTTACAAAATCAGCCCATTTCTTGAGTGTCCGAACAACTTATAATACAGAAAAGCTTGCACAGATTTATCTTCGTGAAATTGTGAAGTTGCATGGAGTTCCCACCAGTATTGTTAGTGACCGTGATCCCAAGTTCACTTCTAAGTTTTAGGAGTCTTTTCAACGGGCTCTCGGAACCCATTTGAGGTTGAGCACTGCTTATCATCCGCAAACCGATGGTCAGACCGAACGCACTATTTAGGTTTTAGAGGATATGTTGCGAGCCTATATTTTAGACCAAGGTGGCAGTTGGGACAAGTACCTTCCTTTGGTGGAGTTTTCTTACAATAACAGTTATCATTCCAGCATCAAAATGGCACCATATGAAGCTTTGTACGGGAGGAAATGCAGATTTCCGTTGTGTTGGGCCCAGGCGAGACAGAAGAGTTACTATGACAATCGTCATAAGCCCCTATTTTTGAAGTGGGAGACCACGTGTTTATGAGGATCACGCCCACATCTGGACTCAGCAGGAGAATGGGAGTTAAGAAGTTGAGTCCGCGGTACTTGGGACCATACCTTATCTTGGACAGGATTGGATAATCAGCTTATCGATTAGCGTTACCACCTAATTTTTCGGGAATCCATAACGTCTTTTATGTGTCTCAGTTAAGAAGATATATTCTGATTCATCCCATGTGCTACAACTAGAAGAAGTGGAGTTAGAGAAGAACCTGGCGTATCCTGTTCAACCATTCCAAATTCTGGAGAGGTCAGTCAAGCAACTTTGTTCCAAGGAGATACCATTGGTGAAAGTTCTTTGGAACAACAGATCTGCGTATGAAGTCACTTGGGAGCGTGAAGATGACATTCGGAATCGGTACCCTGAACTCTTTAATTAAGTAAGTATAATTTTGCAGACAAAATTCTATTTTTGGTGGGGAGAGTATAACACCCCACGAATTTAGGAAGTTATATAAATTTTAGTTAGGAACATAGAAGCATGTCTTGGATTCGAAATATATATATATATATATATATATATATATATATATATATATATATATATATATATATATATATATAGGGTGGACTTAATTTAAATCATGAAAATTATTTAAATTACAATTATGGGTGAGTAGGTATTATAGGAACTCAAAACCTTAGATAAAAGGATAGAATTGATTTGATCATAATATGTAAAAATCTAGTTAATACTTAGAAGGAATAGGGAATAATAAATACATGAACTTAGGGTCATGAAGAAAGGAAATTGGACCCCAACTACCCTTTAGGGTTTCGGCCCAAAGACCTTAAGGGAAGTGATGGGACATAAATTCGTTCTCATCTAAGCCCATTTTGATGGCAAAATACCATACGTTCCCTCATCTGATGAGCAACTCCAGCATGAAAATCACTTGTTTTACACATTTGTTACAAAAACACAGTGGGGGAACGGATGGTAACGTATTCCTTTAAAATATATTAAAAGGGGAACGGACTGAGACGCATTTAATGCACCTGCTCCATTCATTAATGCTTCTGTACACTTTACAGACGTAGAGTTAAAGACTTCTAAAAAGCAAAGCAGTGCACCAACTGAGCAGCTGGAAACGTGAAGAGCAGAGAATCAAGAGTTCTCATTCGCTGAAAACAAAAGCAAAGCATGGTAAGGTCTGCAAACAACGGCTAATCATCACCAAATCCTGTTCCATCCAGCAATTCACGCAAGCTTCATCCAGAGAAAACAGCCCCTTTAAGAGTGAAGCAGTGAATCTGTTCCTCACGGGTGAGAGTTTTCATCCATGTTTTAGCTTTTAAGCCCAAGGAGTGAGGGAACAACCTCATTCTCATGCTCTCCTCTGTTACACCCTCAGCTTTAAAATTATCTCAAATATCTTGGAATGTTGAGAGGTGTGCGTAAGGATCTTCTGCAGGGAGTCCATTGAAGACCCCTGCTTCCCTAATCATGTGAAACATGATAGGTTTTAGTTCAAAATTCGGTGCTACAGGGGGAATGATTACTCCTCTATCTGGTCTGTTCCTAAAAAGAGCAGCCAAAGTTCTGAAGTTTTGTTCATGGGGAACCTCTTCATTGTTATTATTGTGATCAGCCATGTTTTCAGGAAATTCTTCCGAGGTTCCTCCTTCTCCTATGGAGTGTACGTTCTGGCTCAGGATCAAAGAGAAACTCAGGTACTTCAATGGAGTGGTCAGAGTCTGTTTCAAACTCTTCACTCATAAACCAATAGCACAGGGTATATATGTGCACAGCAGATTCAGTGATAAAGAGAAAAAAATATAAAAGTAAAGTCAGATATACAGTATATGTGTTAGAAAACAATGATAAGAACAACAGTTAGTGTTTCTATCCCCGGCAACGGCACCAAAAACTTGTTGGGTGGTTTGCTGATGGTGGAAAAATATAAGTTCTGATAAGGGACGTTCCTCTGTTCTTGCAGAACACAGAGTCGTCCCTTAGTTCCAACCCAAGTGCGCAAGTGCACGCATCAAGTAATAAAGGGAGTATTAATGCCCAAATTATCGTTCCCATGAGGATAGAGTGCTAATTATTGTTTTATCACTGTTTATAAAGAATGAAAATGAGAAGAAAAGTTAGTAAATGAACTGTCTGGTCAAACGTTCCCTACTGTCTTGACAACGTTCCTCAGGAACAGTAGGTTCAATCCGATGGCAAACAGTTGCTCGTTGTGTTATGTATGTGATCCTTCCTGTTTAGAAGAAGGTGAGATAATAATCATTGGAGTTTTTATAAGTACTAACTAA